GGATTTCTGGGAGTTGTAGGCCAAAACGCCTGGGGACCCACAGGTTGAGAACCACTGATCTTGGAGTCCTCGTGGACAACAAGTTAAACATGAGCCAACCATGTGATGTGGTGGCAAAAAAAGCCAATGGGATTTTGGCCTGCATCAATAGGAGCCTAGTGTCTAGATCTAGGGAAGTCATGCTCCCCATGCTCTATTCCGCCTTGGTTAGACCACATCTGGAATATTGTGTCCAATTCTGGGCACCACAATTCAAGAGAGATATTGACAAGCTGGAATGTGTCCAGAGGAGGGCGACTAAAATGATCAAGGGTCTGGAGAACAAACCCTATGAGGAGCGGCTTAAGGAGCTGGGCATGTTTAGCCTGAAGAAGAGAAGGTCTGAGAGGAGATATGATGAGGGTCATGTATAAATATGTGAGAGGAAGCCACAGGGAGGAGGGAGCAAGCTTGTTTACTGCTTCCATGGAGATTAGGACAAGGAACAATGGCTTCAAACTACAAGAGAGGAGATTCCACCTGAACATGAGGAAGAACTTCCTGACTGTGAGAGCTGTTCAGCAGTGGAACTCTCTGCCCCGGAGTGTGGTGGAGGCTCCTTCTTTGGAAGCTTTTAAACAGAGGCTGGATGGCCATCTGTCAGGGGTGATTTGAATGCAATATTCCTGCTTCTTGGCAGAAGGGGTTGGACTGGATGGCCCACGAGGTCTCTTCCAAATCTTAGATTCTATGATTCTATGATTCTATAACACGAAATTCCTTGATGATATTTACATACTTTATCCATGTTGCCTGGAGATCATTTTTTGCATTTCCAAAGTATGTTTTGTGCATGAAACAAAGTCGGTGTACACCAGTGGTTCTCAAGCTGTGGGTCCCCAAATGTTTTGGCCTTCCAGTGTGCCTTCCCAGAATAAGGAATCCCAAGCAATTGTCCCTAATGCACTTTATGAGAGAGTTAGAATTGTCTGCACACCCTTCTATTCCCAAAATATCCATTCTACCTCACCTGGACATGTCCAGCATTTTTAGAATTTTAACTATTACATTTGGCCCTGCCACAGGTTTTTAACAGTGTCAGCTTTTGTTATTGTTTTATTGTTTGCTTATTTATTGTTGCATTGTATTGTTGTCTGTTGTGTTTTTGTTAATGATGTACTTTGGGCTCGGCCTCTTGTCCTGGCTCGAGAGCAGTACGTGTGAAGAAGATCTTGGAGTCCTCGTGGACAACAAGTTAAACATGAGCCAACAATGTGATGTGGCGGCAAAAAAAGCCAATGGGATTTTGGCCTGCATCAAGAGGAGCATAGTGTCTAGATCTAGGGAAGTCATGCTACCCCTCTATTCTGCTTTGGTTAGACCACACCTGGAATATTGTCAATTCTGGGCACCACAATTCAAGAGAGATATTGACAAGCTGGAATGTGTCCAGAGGAGGGCGACTAAAATGATCAAGGGTCTGGAGAACAAGCCCTATGAGGAGCGGCTTAAGGAGCTGGGCATGTTTAGCCTGAGGAAGAGAAGGCTGAGAGGAGACATGATAGCCATGTATAAATATGTGGGAGGAAGCCACAGGGAGGAGGAGGGAGCAAGCTTGTTTTCTGCTTCCCTGGAGACTAGGACGCAATGGGAACAATGGCTTCAAACTACAAGAGAGGAGATTCCATCTGAACATGAGGAAGAACTTCCTGACTGTGAGAGCCGTTCAGCAGTGGAACTCTCTGCCCCGGAGTGGTGGAGGCTCCTTCTTTGGAAGCTTTTAAGCAGAGGCTGGATGGCCATCTGTCAGGGGTGATTTGAATGCAATATTCCTGCTTCTTGGCAGAATGGGGTTGGACTGGATGGCCCAGGAGGTCTCTTCCAACTCTTTGATTCTATGATTCTGTGATTCTAAGAGGGTGGTCACGGTGCCTGGCCTCTATTTCGGGGAGTTGGAAGGGGCGGGGCCAAAGGAGGCAACCTCACGACCCCTCTGAAATGGCCAGGCGACCCCTCGGGGGGTCGCGATCCCCAGGTTGAGAACCGCTGTGCTAAATAGGCCTGGGTAACAACGCAAAAATTTGTTTCTAAAATCGATTTGTATTTGGGGGTTTTTTTGTTTCGATATTTAAAATAATTACAAAATTTTCCCTTTAAAAAAGTTCGGTATTTACGAAATTTCGTAAATATTTACAAAACATTTTGTAAAGATGGCGCCCTTTTTTTTCAATATTTTTTCAATATTTTTTTAATTTAATTATTAATTTAGTAGAATAGGGAGGAGAAATTATTATTAAGGAGGGAAGGCAGGCACTCACTCTGGCGGGCCCTCAAGCGCTGCCGCCGAGTCGGGCCCGGCTCCTCCGAAGCTAAGGTTTCAGTGCGGAATTGGGAGAAGGGGGTCCCCAAAGGCCATCTAGTCCAGCCCCCTCCTAAGGTTTCAATGCGGAATTGGGAGAAGGGGGTCCCCAAAGGCCATACATTCCAGCCCTCTGCTAAAGTTTCAATGTGGAATTGGGAGAAGGGGCTCCCCAAAGGCCATACATTCCAGCCCTCTGCTAAAGTTTCAATGTGGAATTGGGAGAAGGGGCTCCCCAAAGGCCATCTAGTCCCGCCCTCTGCTATGGTCTCAATGCGAAATTGGGAGAAGGGCTCCCCAAAGGCCATCTAGCCCAGCCCTCCGCTAAGGTTTCAGTGCGGAATTGGGAGAACGAAGCACACCCACCGCAAAGGTGAGGAAGGAGGGACGGGCCGCCTTCCCGCTCGCCCTCTCGCTCGCTTGCTCAGCCGGCGCCTTCCCCGCCCTCTCCTCCTCCTCCTCCTCCTCCCTCCTCTTTCAGGCTCTGACTGGCTAAGGAGAGGAGAGAGAGGAGAGCTCCCAGCAAGCATCTAGCCATCTTACGTATTTCCGAAATGGACGGAAATACAAAAATATTTGGCGCATGCCGTTTCGATATTTAAAAACACTTCCGGGTTTAAAAATAAGTTTTGTAATCGTTTTGTAATTGCTAAAATTAACGAATATTTAACGAATTACAAAATTAACGAACGAAACCGCCCAGGCCTACTAAAGAAATAATACCCAGGAGCATATTTACCTTGTCAACTGGGATATACCCATAACATTGCTCCTATACATTACTTTGCCTGTATTTCAGGGTGTAAATAGAGGAGATTCTGTACATTTTTGCAAAAAAATAAAATAAAAATTGACTTCCATTCCATCTTCTTGGATCATATCTTCTTATTATTCAAAAATATAAAATAAGTTCTAGTCTCTTAAAGAAATTTTGCCTTCATTCAAAGACAGCCAATAGCTTCCATGTCAATACGATATAACGTCTCCTTAGCTCTCTCCAATCAGAGACCTAATCTCATATCATGGGACAACAGTAGCACAATGACAGTTATGACGTAGCAACAAAAATAATGTGATGGTTGTGGGTCACCACAACATGAGGAACTGTATTAAGGGGTCACGGCATTGGGAAGGTTGAGAACCACTGCGATATGCAATCCACTCCATGGTTTGTGCCACAATTTAGCGGAACTGTCCAGGTGCTGAACCTGCTTCAGATCCAAGTTTTGGTACCTTTGAGAGCAGCTATAATATCCAGACTACAACCAAGAATTGATTCATTACCCTAGAAGCCAGCTGTTTTCATTGCCCGAAGCTGAACTAGTCAGAACAGAAAAGGCCTGGGGTGCATCTGCACTACAGAATTAATGCAGTTTGATACCACATTAAGTGTCAAGGCACAATGCTATGCAGTCATGGAAGTTGCATTCTTTGGCCTTCTTGGACCAAGAGTGCTGCTGCTTCCCTAAACGACAACTCCGATGATTCCATGACAATTAAAGTGGTGTCACACTGCATTAATTCTGCCGTGTAGATGCAATGTAGGTTAGATTACATAGCCCCTTTGAGCACAAGGCGGTTTGCTCGAGATTATCCTGCAAATTCCGGGTCAAGGCAACGTTTGAATTCAGAACTAAGAAAAGCTAATGCCCTTGTTGGTCGGGAGATTAGTTAACTAGTAGTAAAACACTACTGATTTACACATGTAACTGTATTGCATTGACGAAGGCTTTCATGGCCAGCATCACTGGGCTGTTGAAGGTTTTTCGGGCTGTATGGCCATGTCCTAGTAGCATTCTCTCCTGACATTTCGCCTGCATCTATGGCAAGCATCCTCAGAGGTTGCGAGGTTTGCTATTATATTATATTATATTATATTATAATATAATATAATATAATATAATATAATATAATATAATATAATATAATATATAAACCCCATTTTCCTAGTTTCCAACAGACCTTACAACTGGGTTGTTGTAGGTTTTTTCAGGCTATATGGCCATGGTCTAGAGGCATTCTCTCCTGACGTTTCGCCTGCATCTATGGCAAGCATCCTCAGAGGTTGCGAGGTTTGCTTATTATACTATATTATATTATTAGAAATATAATATAATATAATATAATATAATAACCCCATTTTCCTAGTTTCCAACAGACCTCACAACTGGGTTGTTGTAGGTTTTTTCAGGCTATATGGCCATGTCCTAGTAGCATTCTCTCCTGACATTTCACCTGCATCTATGGCAAGCATCCTCAGAGGTTGCGAGGTTTGCTTATTATACTATATTATATTATATTATTAGAAATATAATATAATATAATATAATATAATATAATATAATATAATATATAAACCATTTTCCTAGTTTCCAACAGACCTCACAACTGGGTTGTTGTAGGTTTTTTCAGGCTATATGGCCATGTCCTAGTAGCATTCTCTCCTGACATTTCACCTGCATCTATGGCAAGCATCCTCAGAGGTTGCGAGGTTTGCTTATTATACTATATTATATTATTAGAAATATAATATAATATATAAACCCCATTTTCCTAGTTTCCAACAGACCTTACAACTGGGTTGTTGTAGGTTTTTTCAGGCTATATGGCCATGTTTAGAGGCATTCTCTCCTGACGTTTCACCTGCACCTTCCAGTAGACCAATGATGGGCAACCTTTTGAGCTTAGTGTGTCAATACTCGCCAAAAAACCGAGCATAACTCGAGTGGGGTGTCACTTCGAGAAAAAACCCATAATTTCATGATATTTATAGTTTAATAACAAAAATATATTATTGTATTATATAACTGTATTTAATGAACCAAAAACTAATTATTTAACTTACCTGCTTTTTCTATAATGCCATATATCTCGGCATTATAGAAAAATGCTGGTGTAGGAGCCGAGGATGAAATGTCCTTCTTGGGATGCGGCCCCATCTTCTCTGTATGCGGCCACATGCGGCTGTGTGTCATCGAAAATGGCTACGCGTGTCACTGCTGACACACGTGTCATAGGTTCGCCATCATGGCTCTAGACCATGGCCATATAGCCCAAAAAAACCTACAACAACCCAGTGAATCCGGCCATGAAAGCCTTCGACAATAGACCTCACAACCCTCACAACCTCTGAGGATGCCTGCCATAGATGTAGGTGAAACGTCAGGAGAGAATGCTTCTAGAACATGGCCCGAAAAACCTACAACAACCTATAGAGAGACAGAGAGAATGAGAGTTGCATTTCCAAATTGTGACATTTTCATCACCGCCCAAGCAACAAGTCTTTAGAGAGAGAGAATAAAACATTGTGTCCGGGGAAACTGTTGCATGAACATCATTAGAGAGCATACATTCAAATATATATACACAGAAAGTGCCTGACAGAGTATATATTTTTCACAGTCTGGTTGTTGCAGAACAGTTTCCATTTACAAATAGACTTCGGCCTGGTTGTTGTTGTTGTTTGTCACAACTGGGGACGGCTTGCTTTTGATGCCTTCCGTCCCGCCTTTCGAGGCGTCCACGAAGAGCAAGCGGGGCGTCCAGAGCGACACAAGAATCCTTTTGTACTCCTTCCGGAAATTCTGGTTGAGCAGGCCGTAGATGACGGCGTTGAGGCAGCTGTTGAAGTACGCCATGAAGTAGCTCACCACGAAAAGCCATTCCGGGATCTGCGGCACGATCTTGGACGGGTTGATGGAGACGGCCAAGCCGATGAAGTTCAAGGGCCCCCAGCAGACGGCGAAAAGGACAAACACCACAAACATCGTCAAGAAGTTCCGGAGGTCGGCCGCCCGCACTTTGTGCTTGCACTCGTGCCGCGCCCGGTGCTTGACCTGGATGACCAGAATCCAGATCCGAAGATAGCAGAAAGTCACGATGGACAGCGGCAGGATGAAGTGGACCACCACCACGGTGATGGTGTAGGACATGCTCACCGTCTGCGCAAAGGTGCAGGAATAGATCCGGTGGTCGTACTGCAAGGAACCCACAAAGAAGTTGGGCAGGATGGCCACCAAGGTGAGCAGCCATGTCAAGCAGAGGTACAGGTAGGTGTTCTTCAGGTTAAAGAGCCGGTCGTAGCGGAGGCTGTGGCAAATGTAACAGTACCGGTTGATGGCGATGGCGGTGATGTTGAAAATGGAGCCAATGACGCTCAAGCCCATGAGGAAGCCGCTGATCTGGCAGTGAACAGGGCCCATCGTCCATCTGTCGTGGAAAATGGCGCTCAGGATCAGAGGGTAGGGGTAGATCGCCACCACGAGGTCGGCCACCGACAGGCTGACCACAAAGATATTGCCTAGATGTTGCAGAGAGCAGGAGAAAAAAAGGGATAGTTAATCCACCACCATTGTGTAAGTATCTGGTGAACGACACTTGGTCCTCCACATTTGGAGGTCTATTTTCCCCAACCTCCACCAGTGTTCACATTTGGGCATATTGAGTATTCATCAGACAATGGACAATGATCACTAAGTCCTTACCAGCAGACACAAAGCAGGAGTGACACACAGTTGGAGTTAAAACATCAGCATCAGACTCATTGTTATCAGTGAAAGCTGACTGCTCCTGCTTCTGATTTATAGCCCTGAATTCCCCACGCAGGAGATGCTAGGGTGTCTCCCAATTAGCTCAGCGTTTTTAGCAGCTATTCCGGCTGAACGCCGTCTGTGCTCTGTCTCTTTTCGTCTCTCTAGAAATGTGGGCACTTGCAAAATCTGATTGCCTGATTCTTCTTCTTCCTCCAATTCCTGAGCACTTCCCTGCTCCCCTTCCTCTTCTGATTTATTTATTATTCAAAATTATATGCCGCCACTCCCCTGGGACTTGGAGCGGTTTACAAGAACAGGCTAAAATCTAAAACAATTTTTTAAAAAAACAGCAATATTAAGAACCAAAGGCCTGTTGAAACAAATATGTCTTACATGCCCTGCGGAACGAGATAAGTCCCACAAGGCATGGACTTCAGGTGGCAGAGTATTCCAGAGTGATGGTGCCACTGCTGTGAAGGCTCTGCGTCTGGTTGCTGTTAGGTGCAAGGTCTTGACACTGGGAATTTCCAACAAATCTTGGTCCTCAGAGCGGAGGGATCTGTGGGGTTGGGAGGGGGTGAGGCGGTCCCTCAGGTACATCGGCCCCAGACCATGCAAGGCCTTCAAGGTGAGTCCATCACTTTGAAAGTGATCCGGTGCTTAATTGGCAACCAATGCAGCTGCAGGAAGATTGGGATGATGTGGCATCTCATCGGAATTCCCACAAGAAGCCGAGCAGCTGCATTTTGTACCAGGTTGAGCTTCCGGATCACCGACAGAGGAAGGCCAATGTAGAGGGCGTTACAGTAGTCCAGTCTTGAGATGACCGTGGCCTGGATCACCGTAGCTAGGTCATCCCTGGACAGGGAGGGGGCCAGCCGTCTAGCCTGCCGCAGGTGAAAGAAGGCGGTTCTGCTCACGGCGGAGACCTGGGCCTCCATCGTCAGCAGAGGGTCCAAAAGGACTCCCAGACTCTTGACCAACGATGACGGGCGTAGCGCCTCGCCATCCAGGGTAGGCAGCTGGATGTCCCCACTGCCCGGTTGACCCAGCCATAGGATCTCCGTCTTTGCTGGATTCACCCTCAACCTGCTGGCACGCAGCCATCCAGTAACGGCCTCGAGGCACTGATGGAAACAATCGGGTACAGAGTCCTCAGCACCAGCTGAGTGTCATCAGCATACTGATAACACTCCAGCCCAAAACCTCGAACCAGCTGAGCAAGTGGGCGCATATAGATGTTAAACAAGAGAGGGGAGAGAATGGCCCCCTGAGGAGGAACCCCACAAGAGAGAGAGGGGGGACCTCTCAGAGACCAGGCCTCCCCTCTCCACTCGCTGTCCACGGTTGTGAAGGAAGGAGGGGAGCCAGTTTAAAGCTCTCCCCCTGACTCACTCCAACAGCAGCAAGGTGGTGGGTCCAAAGATGGTGGTCGACTGTGTCCAATGCTGCTGTGAGATCCAATAACACAAGCAGCGCCGACCTGCCCTGGTCAAGCTGGCATCGAAGGCGGTCCGTGATGGAGACCAGCACAGTCTCTGTCCCGTGCCCCACACGGAAGCCGGACTGGAAGGGATCTCGTCCGGCTGTGTCGTCTAGGAATTGCTGCAACTGCTCCGCTGCTGCCCTCTCCATCACCTTGCCCAGAAACGAGAGATTCGAAACTGGGCCTATCTGGAGGGAACCGAGGGATCTAAGTCTGGTTTCTTCAGCAGGGGAGAGAGAGACCACCGCCTCTTTTAAACCCTCTGGAAAAACTCCTTGCTCAAGGGAGCTGTTTATGATCTTCAACAGAGGGTCACGTAATCCCTCCAAGCAGGATTCATGCCAAGTTTGGTCCAGATCCATCACAATATGAGTCCACAGTGGTCTCTGGATGTAGGTGAACTACAACTTCCAAACTTCTGGTCGCTTCTGGAGCAAACCACAGACCACCTGCTGCAATGCAACCTGAGCCCTGCTACATGCACAATGGAGGACCTTCTTGCGGCAACACCAGATGCACTCCAAGTGGCCAGATACTGGTCAAAGGACATTTAATAGAATACCAAGCTTGCAAACTTTGTGTTTTGTCTATTTGTTTGTTTTATTAAAAATGTAATACAACTGTCTGGTTGCTCCTGACACGATAAATAAAATGAAACTTCCAAACTCAAGGTCAATGCCCACCAAACCCATCCAATCTTTTATGTTGGTCATGGGAGTTGTGTGTGCCAAGTCTGGTTCAATTCCATTGTTGATGGAGTTCAGAATGCTCTTTGATTGTAGGTGAACTATAAATCCCAGCAACCACAACTCCCAAATTAGAGAACCAATCCCCCCAAACCCCACCAGTATTCAAATTTGGGCGTATCAGGTATCTGTGCCAAATTTGGTCCAGTGAATGAAAATACATCCTGCATATCAGATATTTAAATTGCGATTCATAATAGTAGCAACATTATGGTTATGAAGTTGAAATGAAAATAATGTTCTGGTTGGGGGTCACCACAACATAAGGAACTGTATGAAGAGATCATGGTGGCATTTGGAAGGTTGGGAAACGCTGCCCAAAGCAAAGGCAGTCAAAGCCAACCACATTCTCTTGCTACTTGATGCAAAAATAATCTCCAACATGCTCATTTCCATCTCTTTCCCAACAGAAAACAATCACGAAGCCATTGCTTTTCATGCCACCTCCTAAATCTGCAAACCAAAGCAGTTGCTTCGCTTTGTCTTTCGGAAGGGATTGTTCATAAGGATATCCGGACAAGAGCAAGGCAGGATAATGCCTCCGGAGACAAAAGTGTTAGAACGTCTCAACCGCTTGCAGGTTCTCCCCCTACTTCCTTTGTTTTGCCAAATGGATCCGTTCCAATGGTCTGAAAAATAGCCTTTGTATAAAAACCATTATCTAGGGACTGCTCTGGTGCCATCAGCGCACATACAATCCCTCGAAACCCCGTGCCAAGAGCTCATAAAAAGACCTAGGAAGGCCAGCAGAGTTTAAGAAAGCAAACCGGAATACACTAAGTGAAGTGTAAAAACAAATATTTAGCATGGGTGGGACTTGGGGGAGTGGAAGGAAAGGGAAGGGAGGAAGTAACCGAAGCAAAGAGATGTATCAACATGCCTCATGCAAACACATAGAAGCCTGCTATGGCCTCCCCAAGTGACAATGGCAACAAGTAATTCAGTCATCTTTTCATTAAAAACATGTGCGGAATTGCCACTTGAATGGCCACGGCTCAATGCGATGAAATCATAAGAGTTGACGTTTTGCAAGATCTTTATCCTTCTCGGTCAAAGAGTGTTGGTTCCTCTCCAAACTGCAACTTCTAGGAATCTATCCTATGGGCAAACTTCGGTCCTCCAGGTGTTTTGGACTTTATTTCCCATAATTCCTCACAGCCAGAAGCCTCTTAGGAATTGTGGGGGTGGAAGTCCAAAACTGTTGCACTCCAGAACAGGAAATGGCCCCTCTGACTATAAACACACCACACGTTGAGTGAAGGAACAATCCTTTTTATTAAAGCTTAGCAAAAAAAGCCAGTAGAAATAAATGCTTGTAAAGATAGAAAGATTCCAAAAAACAATAAGGCCTTCAAAGACAGCCAGATAAAACCGTGTCCAAACGTAGCAATCGAAAGCAATGTCCATAAAGCAATCCAAGGCAATTATTATCCAGACAAGAATCAAACAAGAAGCAAGAACAGACCAGATGCTGCTAGTCACCTTGAAAGGCTAGAAAAATCCATGAAGACGAGACCACTTGAACAGGAATTCCATGAGGCTTGTACTTGGTTTCCAAACGATGCCTGATCTGACAAGATTCTCTAAAGGTAAACCTTAAATCCCAAAAACTGGTTTCGTTTCCCCCCAGTCTTTGACTTTAATTGACGAATTCTTTTGGATCTACGTAAACATTGGGCCTCTTGTCAATTCTGGCTAATCTCCAGCTGCCGACTCTGCTTATCTAACTCCTCATTAACTTTACCAGTGTCAGACTGTTTTCCAAACTAGAATCTGGAGAGCTCACAGGCGGAGGGAGTAAACCTTTCTCCTAAGGCCTGACAGAAGCATTCTCATGAGAATCTGCCCTTTGCACCGAAGCCTCTCTGTCAGTGTCTGCATGAAACTCCTTGACCAAAGTGTCTCCATCTTGCACCTCAGTCAGTCCCAGCATCCCCCACATCAGAAGCAACAGGGGACTGATTTTCCTCCTCATTACCCACATCAGACACAGAAACATCAGGAGACTGAAACCCATTCACAGGTTCAAGTACAGGCTGAGTCCAAACAAAAACACCCAGAGGTCCAAAGTTTGCCCATCCTTGGTGTAGATGGTCGACATGTGTGATCGATAAAAAAATGTTTCAAAACAAAATTGGGGGGGGGGGTGCAGGCGTTTCATTTCTAAAGTATTTCTAAAGTATAGTTAGTGAAAATTTCATAACTATAACAGGAGTAACGAAATTTCATTACTTTTCCGTTAGAATAATTGCGCAAGTGGGGAAACTTCAGGGATTCCTTTCTCCCTTGTTTGTACAGCTATTGGGGTGAAACATGTCAGATATCACCTCGTATGAATTTAACAAATTTGATCCGATTGGGGCTTCCTGATGCTGAGCAGAATTCTGGGAAATGTCGTTCAGAGCAGGGCCTTTTGCATTCTCTAGCAAAGGGCTCCTTGGCTTCCTAAACTACATTTCCCAGAACCCTGTGCTTTCTCAGTCTCTTTCCCAGCGGACTCTGCTTTCTCCCTGCTGCGTCCCTCTCCTCATGGCAG